TCAACAGTTTTTTATACCTCTATGTAATTGAATCTATTGTATGACAACGAATTGTGATTCACCTCAGAACTGTGCTTTAAGACAAGACAAGACAAGACAAGACAAGACAAGACAAGTGTGATAGGACAAGACAAGACAAGACAAGTGTGATAGGACAAGACAAGACAAGACAAGACAAGACAAATGTGATAGGACAAGACAAGAGTAGACAAGACAAGACAAGACAAGTGTGATAGGACAAGACAAGACAAGACAAGACAAGACAAGTGTGATAGGACAAGACAAGACAAGACAAGCGAAGACAAGACAAGAGTAGAGAAGACAAGACAAGACAAGTGTGATAGGACAAGACAAGACAAGAGAAGACAAGACAAGTGTGATAGGACAAGACAAGAGTAGAGAAGACAAGACAAGACAAGACAAGTGTGATAGGACAAGACAAGACAAGACAAGCTCGATAAGACGACAAGACAAGACAAGACAAGCTCAATAAGACAAGACAAGACAAGTGTGATAGGACAAGACAAGACAAGACAAGCTCGATAAGACGACAAGACAAGACAAGCTCGATAAGACAAGACAAGACAAGACAAGCTCGATAAGACGACAAGACAAGACAAGCTCGATAAGACAAGACAAGACAAGACAAGTGTGATAGGACAAGACAAGACAAGACAGGACAAGACAAGCTCGACAACACAAGACAAGACAAGACAAGCTCGATAAGATAAGACAAGACAAGACAAGTGTGATAGGACAAGACAAGACAAGACAAGCTCGATAAGACGACAAGACAAGACAAGCTCGATAAGACAAGACAAGACAAGACAAGCTCGATAAGACGACAAGACAAGACAAGCTCGATAAGACAAGACAAGACAAGACAAGTGTGATAGGACAAGACAAGACAAGACAGGACAAGACAAGCTCGACAACACAAGACAAGACAAGACAAGCTCGATAAGACAAGACAAGACAAGTGTGATAGGACAAGACAAGACAAGCTCGACAAGACAAGACAAGACAAGACAAGACAAGCTCGATAAGACAAGACAAGGCAAGCGTGATAAGACGAGACAAGATAAGATGACACGAGACGAGACAAGATCAGACGAGATAAGTAGAAGTGCAACAGATGCACAGTACCAATATATAACTTTTAAATAAAGCAGAACACCATACATTGTGAGCATCTACTAGCCTATATACAAAATGAGGCATAAAACCAAACATGAGCCATGAAATATTACATACACCAACATAAGGCAACACATTCTAGCGCTGGATTTCAACGACTTCGAAGTGAGAGTGGGCTCCATAAGGAGGAACTACAAAGTGCATTGTGACAAATATCACAAGAAAGTTGTAATTAAAAAATGTTGGCAAAGTATGAGGTATCAGAATCATAAATAAGCTACTTTTTTGATCCCCCGGGGAAAATTGGGATATGTTAAATTTGCTTTTATATATAAGCACAGAGATTTATAAGATAATGGAAAGAAATTTGTTAAAATATAAAAAAATATGTGCTATATGCTACATGTATAAGCAGTTACGACGGGCCCGAGTGCACGCTAATGTTGTTATGACTGCTCCATGCAGGTGTGCTCAGTTTGTCAGTCTTTACAGATATTGCACCTACACTAGCTAACGTATATCATATTGTTTCCCTGCATGATCGAAAAAGAGACTTGGACAATATCAACATAAGTAACAAGCAAGTAACCCAGCAATCATCACTTCATGTCTGTAGGCATTCAGTAATGGTTATCAGAATAAAACACTGTTGTAGATGTGTATTGACATGAGTATGTGGTCTTATTAACTGTGAGGTTCTTTGCACTTTAGCTTTTGAACCAACTAATGCTTTATTATTATTCTGTTTATTTATTTTTGTCATGGGTGTCATACAAGGTTTGTCATTGTTACTGATATTTAGCAATCTTCTGTGCTCACTGTTTTGTTTTTTACTGAGTTTGAGCTTCAAAAGGATTTTGCTTTTGTAAAAGAGGAAGTACATCTGGGAGGCATTAAAAAATAAAGAATATTTTGTTAGAATTTTGTAATCGAAGTTTTTTGGAAACACACAGACCAAAGTTCAGTTTTATTCCACGTGGAACATGTTGCCTTGTTACCTTCTTTTTGTAATTTTCACTGTCTCCTGCAGTTTCATCGCAACAAATATGCTAAAAACATCGCAGCTTTTGGCTCAATGTTTTAGAAAAGCCGCTGTGAAATCAGGCAACAAACCCAAAAAAAGCCAGCGAGATCCTGTAGGGACTGTGCATGTGACAAAATACCAATTAAGATCAAAAGCTATACATTTAATTGTTTTTTTTTTTTTTTTAACAGTTAATTTATAATTTTTTATAGATTATTTAGTATAACCATAAAATTTTGTTAGACATGTAACGAGTATTTTACAAAAAAAAAAAAAAAAAAAAAGCAAGAAAAAAGACAGAGGTCACCTGTTGGGTTGTTATTACCTGTAACTATGGCGCCATCTGCTGTCAAAATGGCGGCACCGACAGGGAAGCGGCTGTAGGGACAGTAAGCCATGTCCCGGGCCTGCAGGCACTTTGACACCAGCTCGTTCACTTTATCTGCGCACAATAGACACCAACAGGATGTAACAGGACAAGGTTAGCGAGCATCTAACATGAGCCACATCATATGTCAAGTGTGTGTACAGAAGAAACATGTAGAGAGTGTGTGACACACAGACTTGCCTGTCATTGCAGAAGGAGACTGTCAGCAGGTTTGGGTGGGCTGGTTTCTAATATGTCACCTTTTACAGCTGGAACAAAAAATGGATGACAGCTCTGTTAATGTTTTATAATGAAATTAAATTCAGCCTACCGGGTTTGCCGACAGGGACGGGACAGTGGGGGCTCATATCTGCTGCACGAGCTTTGTTTACCTTCACGCTGGTGAAGGGGAGCGTCATCGATCAGTTTGGGGCTGATCAGACGGGACCCGACTTTGGTCAGAGCTTCTCGCGAGAGATGGAGATGTTGGACTGACCACCACAGAGCTCACATCAGAGGGCTTCACCCAATTTAAATAACCTTTATTTAAAACTGACAATCCAGCAAAACAAATGATGCACAGGCTACAAAAAGCAAATAAGACAAACAAACATAAATAAACATAAATATACATATAGTCAGTAGGTCCTAAAAGTTTACACATTTTTCTGAGGACATAACAGTGGGTTATATTATTCTATTTATTCATAATCATATTTATAGCCTACAATTATACATTATATTTTATAGGCTAACTGTATATATTTATGCACACATAATTACATTAGGCTGTTATGATTATACATATGGTGTATATGTGTTACAAACTATGGATGTAACGTCTGCATATTATATTGTATATGCTGTATTCACAACATACTTGTACTGTGTAATTATGTCTATTATGTCTATTATTATTTAATTACCGTAAAACTTTAATTAGTAGCCCAGGCTATTATATGCCTAAATCAGTGAAAACAACAGGCCTGTATTTGAAACAGGCCTTTAATTCCATTCACACAAAACTGCTACACAACAAAGATGGTAAATACAATCAAACTGTTTATTTAAACCAGTATGAATATTACTCGTAAAAAAATCAGGCTTCTCTCTTCAACAGAGAGAAAAAGAGAGGGTTACAGCACTCAAGGATTACGGCATCCGGCATACCGACACACCACTTTATCCTGTTAAAACAATCCTCACAACTTGGATTAATTTTCATGAAAAAACTTTTTGATTCTTTTGATCTGAGGACCCTTATGGACTAGAGGAATATGAATAACTGACAGGGTAATCGAGGAATGGACACAAAATCTGAGGTAGCCAACAACTGTCTTTTATCCGTCCGAAGTAAGAGAGAGAACTGTTCGTCAACCAGACCAGACCTCTAATGGAGACAGGCTTTCATTGTCAAAATGTGTGGTGACACTGCGCTAGTAAAAGGGACTGGGTGTTTAATTGGGACTTAGCTTTTAATTGAAGTTTTACTTATGCTATGTCATTTATATATCTATTTATCGGGATGTATACATGTAGTTTCCTACAATGAAGAAAATAAGGTGTGCGCTGGGTGGCTCTACAGGTAAATTTTACAGGACATGGCGACCATTTCTGACATATATGAAAACACAACTGTGACTGATGTATAACTATATGTGTATGATTGTGTGTGTGTACTTACATTTACATTTTGACTTATGTGTCTGTCTGCTTATGTATGTCTGAAATGTATCGGCCCATGTATATATGCATGTATGCTGCCATTTTAGTTTTCATTTTAGTCTTATACAAGCTTTTTTTTTTATTACCAGTGGGGGTGGGGGATGGGGGTATAAAAATGGACAACATACAAATATTTGTATTTTGGTATTCCACTCTGGATATTTTACAGTGGTGATGTTGTTGAAAACAAGGAAAATAAAATAAAAATAAAAATACCCTTATTTAGGACTCAATTTTTTCTTCTGACACTTGACCTGCTGCATTGTGCGAATTTCCCCTTTGTGGGATTAAATAAGTCTTAATTTATCTTGTTTTATCTTGAAAATATATATTATTATATTATTATTATTATTATATATAACTTTAAAAAAAGATGTAAATAAAAAAAATAAAACAATTAACACATAAGACAAAGAACCATAACCAACTTTTGAAGGATAAAAATCAGGAGCTAATTGATTCTTTGATCGATGGAAGAATAATAAGTGGCGATTCTGATAATTGTGTCATTTTTTTTAAAGCAAAAATATCAATCATTTTCTTGTTCTTGTACCGTGTAATTACGAGATCTTATCTCATAATTATGAGATAAGATCTTGTAATTACAAGATAATGGTTCGATTTTTTTCATTTATTCAGTGAATGCAATGTGCCCCCGTACCATTCAGTGTGAGGAATGCAATAATTTTGGTTGTATTTACACACAGAGAGATATTTACATCAACCTTTCATCCATCCGTCTATGCTTCATACATTCCCATAAAGGTTTCTGTTTGCTGGTGCAGGACTCATCGTCACACAGAACACCAGTCCTTTGCAGAGACGGGCCAGGAGGACAAAAATTGCAAAAGTCTCCCAGACAGCGTTCCAGAAAGCAAATGTGTACAGAGTCTTATCACAGTAAACACCGTCAGCAGCTGCAGGATCATAGTTGGGCTGATAAACTGAGAAGACCCACACGTCACCTGCAGGTGCACGGGACAAAAACATTTTGTTGCAATCTGTTATTCATTTTGGGAGAAACTGTGGGCTCTGTGATATTTTTCATCCTTACCTGCCAGGATCCATGGGAAAAGAAACAGGCCTATTAAACACTGCAGACAGGCTTTGAATCCTTTGGGCTGCTCCTGTGACTGAGCTGCATGGCTCTCACACGGGAGGGTCACAAATGGTATCATCAGCAGCTGTGCCAAAGCCAGCCCTAACAGGTAGTTGGGAATGTTAGGTTGCTCAGGGCAGTCCTTGAAATACACAGCACCTGTGGAGAGATGGTGGTGAGAGCAGCATGGTTACAGACATAGGTGTAGATTTTGGGGGGGATGCAAGGGACACATCCCCCTTATTTATTTAGAAGATGTCATTTATTCCCCCAATAAAAACAGAGGACTTTTGTTCTGACAAAAAGACATTAACACCATTAATTGATGAAGGAAAGGCACAAATTGGTGCATAAAATCAGAATGCAGGATATTAAGTGTTTTACACATAAAATTTTCTGGTGGAGGACTCCCCCATCTCAGTGTTAAAACAAAACCTGCGCCCTTGGTTACAGAACGGCTGTTAAAAAATAGGACAGTAAAACATGATGTCGAAGAAAGGATACTGACCAAAGGCGACTCGTGCCAGTATGCAGACAGCCTGTGTTACTGTGAATCCAACTAGAGGGGTAAGATTAAAAAAAGGGGTCAGATTTTAATTTGTAACATCAGATTGCATATTTTGAGTCATGCTTATAATATTTTTACAGTAAAAATAGAAATATATGCTTTTATTATGTTAAGCTTTAATAACATTGGTTTAAAAAGTTGTTTTAAATTGTAAATTGTAATTACATTAAATTAAATAAAATTATGACCAGTCTAAAAGTTAACCAGCTGCAGTTATGCTATCTTCACAAATAAAAGTAACTTTCTTTTAAGAGGTGTGTGTCTGAAATACTTTGTATAACTTTGTATTTAAAGGTCTCTAGTTTTATTATAAATACATATTTAGATATTCATATCATTTTGAGGTGTAGGGCAGATACCAGTGAAAATTTGAACTACATCCAAGCAATGGCTGAAAAATTACATTACATTACATTATGCAGGTAACTCCCATCTCCAAAACAGTAATATTCTGCACTTTTTACCAAAGTGGTGAGTCAATAATAACTTTCCAAAATCCTAATGTTACCTCAACCAGATGCATTTAAACTTTCTTCACAAAAAAGAAAAGAAAGAGGCATCATATATTACCTTTAATAAATCTAACTTTATGGTTAAAAGGTGACTGAAATTTGTGGATATAACAACTTTGTATTTAAAAGTCTCTAGTTTTATTATAAATACATATTTTGATAGTCATATCACTTTGAGGTTTAGGGCAGATATCTAGGCAGTAGTAGTGCAAATTTGAACTCCATGCAAGCAACGGCTGAAAAATTACACAGAATTAAGTACATAATCCCGCTCTCCAGAGAGTTTTTTTCCCCTGCACTTTTTACCTGATGAGTCAATATATTTTAATAAGTTTAATCACTTTTTGCTGTATAAAATGTTTTTTTTGGGGGGGCATTCAATTCATGAAGAGGACTTATTAAAATTATGAAAAAACATGGCTGTGTTTTATGCCATTATGCCATTTGCCATTTGTTATTTTACGGAGAAGTTTTATTTTGAAACATAAATAAGTAGGGATTCACAATAATATCAGCACGTCATTGGTACTGGCTGACATTGGCTTTAAAATGAACAGAAATTATGAGAAATGATCAGAATCAGCCAACAAGCTTTTTCTTAATCTGCACAATGAATGAATATTCCATACATTGAAAAGTATTGTATTTCATGTCTCCATCTGCTGGTGGGCCATCATGATAAGAGTATACATGCATAATATGGTGTTAATTCCACTACAAAAGAGACCTGAAGATCACTAAAATAAGGTGGGAAAAAGTGGATATATATCGATATCGATATTGGTCAAACGAGTTATCACATATCGGCAAAATAATCCAATATCCTGCATACATATAAACAAGTCAATAAATCTAAGCTCAAGGTTAAACCTGGACTTGGTGTTTAGAACCTTTATGTCAAACTGTCCTTTCCAAGGTCAAGAACTGTGACACTCAAGTCATCAAGTTAAAGCAAATGCAGTCTAATGCTACACCCTAAAATGAATCCAACTATCAGAAAGGTAACAATATTCAAACTGTTTTAAAAAGTTGGTGATTTAACTTAATGGTCATGTTTAGAGGCTTTTTGCTGATGAATTGTATCACATTAAAAAGGGTCCCTAATAGTTTCCCACCTCAATTGTGTCACTCAAGGATAGACTAAATACTAGGATCACTTCTCAGTATATGATTCACCATCATCATCATCATCATCATCATCATCATCATCATCATCCTCACACACTACAGCCCAAAAAAATCCCCTAATATACTTGGACCTGAATCTTTATTGTGCTTACCTGATAGTCTTGGGGGTCTGGGTGGTGGGGGGTCCACTTGAATGCTCCATAAGGCACCCATAGTTATTTTCACTGACTGATCTGTAGATGGTGCTAAAGAACAAACATACAAACTGGTATCATTCTTCTGCAGTTGTAACGCTTGATGAAGTAACAGTTATGAAAATAAAGGACAGTGTTGAGGGAGTATCTTTATAACATAACTTTGCAAGCTATCAATTCATTTAGAGTGGGAGAAGGTGAACAACGGCAAAGCTTTTCAATATGAAACATTAAATTACATGTAATTTACTTCTCCACAACACTGGGAAAACAAAACAAAATGTTGTGTGCTTTAGTAAACAAATTTTCTCACAGAATCCACGTTATGTAATGTCCCATTGATCAGACTGCAGATATAGAATATGTTGTCATCATTATTCCCCGACATTGTTTTTATAGTCAATCCAAAAGTGAAACTACAGTGACGGCTTCTGCTGATAGTAGAATAGAATAGAACAGCCTTTATTGTCATTGTGTGTACAACGAAGTTAAATAAATATAACACCTTCATAACGTTTGTTAAAACCATGTTTCTCCAACCAAACAGCTTTACACAACTCTTTGTAATTAAATGCAGTAATTTAACAGCTTATTTAAACTCAAACACAAGCGAATAACCCCTGAGCTAAATGGCATGCAGATGTTCAAAAGATAAATTCTTTTTTAAAGATATTTTTTTTGGCCATTTTGCCTTTATTGGACAGGACAGGTAAGCGTGAAGGGGAAGAGAGGGAGGGGGGATGACATGCAGCAAAGGGCCACAGGCTGGATTCGAACCCGGGCCGCTGTGGCAACAGCCTTGTATATGGGGTGCCTGCTCTGCCACTAAGCCACCAACACCCCCAAAAGATAAATTCTTGACAGAAATACACCTTATTAAACTTCTCGACTTGAGCTTAAATACCTAACACAAGTTAGGTAACTTACATATTAAATACATTTTTATCCAATCATAAAAGAATACACTTACCTGCCATTGTGGTCCTCCTGAATGCTGAACTAGGGCACAAGACACTTACAGAAACAAGTGGGAATTCCCACTATCTGATGTTTTTATACCACAGTCAACAGTGAACTGGACGAGCCTGTTATCACCTGTTTCACGTCATATCAGCAAAGTGAAACTAAAATTATTCCCCTGTGAGAATGTTTTTTTCTGAATCTACTGATTATCTTAAGTTGAGAACATTAAGAAAAACTACAATTAAATGTGTTCAGAATCTCCTCCATATTGTCACTTAGAAAACAGTGAAAAGCTTTATTGTATTTTATATCAGTACTCCTCTGCTGGAAGACGACCTGTCCATTTTTAAATCAGTTGTTTTAGGAATATGCACCTTGTAAGCATTCCTTAAATAATAATAAATGTATTAAACAGTATTTTGACACAGGGATTGACAGGGCCTGAAGAGTAAGTAAATATGGCCCTCATCCCTTCAGGGTATATTATGCTTTAGTGGTGCATAGTGCCAATGGAATTGACAGGATTTAATTGCATAACAGTGAGCCGGAGGCCTTGTGGTAATCCAGCATTGGTAAAGTCATGTGCCTCTAAGTCCTCTACCAACTTTCTGAACTCAAGTAACCTATGTCCTGTGTCTTATGACATCTTGAACATACAGTACAGGCCAAAAGTTTGGACACACCTTCTCATTCAATGCGTTTTCTTTATTTTCATGACTATTTACATTGTAGATTCTCACTGAAGGCATCAAAACTATGAATGAACACATGTGGAGTTATGTACTTAACAAAAAAAGGTGAAATAACTGAAAACATGTTTTATATTCTAGTTTCTTCAAAATAGCCACCCTTTGCTCTGATTACTGCTTTGCACACTCTTGGCATTCTCTCCATGAGCTTCAAGAGGTAGTCACCTGAAATGGTTTCCACTTCACAGGTGTGCCTTATCAGGGTTAATTAGTGGAATTTCTTGCTTTATCAATGGGGTTGGGACCATCAGTTGTGTTGTGCAGAAGTCAGGTTAATACACAGCCGACAGCCCTATTGGACAACTGTTAAAATTCATATTATGGCAAGAACCAATCAGCTAACTAAAGAAAAACGAGTGGCCATCATTACTTTAAGAAATGAAGGTCAGTCAGTCTGGAAAATTGCAAAAACTTTAAATGTGTCCCCAAGTGGAGTCGCAAAAACCATCAAGCGCTACAACGAAACTGGCACACATGAGGACCGACCCAGGAAAGGAAGACCAAGAGTCACCTCTGCTTCTGAGGATAAGTTCATCCGAGTCACCAGCCTCAGAAATGGCAAGTTAACAGCAGCTCAGATCAGAGACCAGATGAATGCCACACAGAGTTCTAGCAGCAGACCCATCTCTAGAACAACTGTTAAGAGGAGACTGCGCCAATCAGGCCTTCATGGTCAAATAGCTGCTAGGAAACCACTGCTAAGGAGAGGCAACAAGCAGAAGAGATTTGTTTGGGCCAAGAAACACAAGGAATGGACATTAGACCAGTGGAAATCTGTGCTTTGGTCTGATGAGTCCAAATTTGAGATCTTTGGTTCCAACCGCCGTGTCTTTGTGAGACGCAGAAAAGGTGAACGGATGGATTCCACATGCCTGGTTCCCACTGTGAAGCATGGAGGAGGAGGTGTGATGGTGTGGGGGTGTTTTGCTGGTGACACTGTTGGGGATTTATTCAAAATTGAAGGCACACTGAACCAGCATGGCTACCACAGCATCCTGCAGCGACACGCCATCCCATCCGGTTTGCGTTTAGTTGGACCATCATTTATTTTTCAACAGGACAATGACCCCAAACACACCTCCAGGCTGTGTAAGGGCTATTTGACCAAGAAGGAGAGTGATGGAGTGCTGCGGCAGATGACCTGGCCTCCGCAGTCACCGGACCTGAACCCAATCGAGATGGTTTGGGGTGAGCTGGACCGCAGAGTGAAGGCAAAGGGGCCAACAAGTGCTAAACACCTCTGGGAACTCCTTCAAGACTGTTGGAAAACCATTTCAGGTGACTACCTCTTGAAGCTCATGGAGAGAATGCCAAGAGTGTGCAAAGCAGTAATCAGAGCAAAGGGTGGCTATTTTGAAGAAACTAGAATATAAAACATGTTTTCAGTTATTTCACCTTTTTTTGTTAAGTACATAACTCAACATGTGTTCATTCATAGTTTTGATGCCTTCAGTGAGAATCTACAATGTAAATAGTCATGAAAATAAAGAAAACGCATTGAATGAGAAGGTGTGTCCAAACTTTTGGCCTGTACTGTATGTGGGAAGCAAATTTTAGAAAATAAGTGATTAAGTTTGTTAGTTTTTAAGGATATCTTGGTTGGTATCATTAAAAGGAGCTCTACAGGACATACAGAACATTAATATAGCAGCAAACTACTATTTACTATGTAAAGATATAGTGGAGGTTTCTCTAATGCCTACCTAACCCATTAGTTGCTGTCCTAGGTGCCACAAGTGTGTTACCTTAGGCAGACTAGTGTGAAACTCAGGCCATTTGGTTTGGTTGTGGCAAGGAAACCTAATCTATTTATGTGGAAACCTAATCTATTTATGTGGAAGTCAGACTGTGCACCAACATATGATATATGGATAAGTGAGCCAATGGATGTGTTGTACTTGGAAAGGTTAAGGTTCTCAATAAGACTGAGAATCACATGTTTGTCAGAATTTGGAGCCCTGTACTCGAGTATTAGGGGTAGTGAATTGTAATGGTCTAACTGAGTAGCAGTATACCCTCTATCACTGTGTATATTTTATTTTACTGGTAATGGTGAAGTCCTAGGATTTGTTTTTTGTTTTTCTACCTGTAAAGATTTTTGTGTCTGAGTTTAAATGATGTACTGAGTGTTTGTTTTATATTGAAAATCCTAAAATAATGGAAACGAAGCTTCTCTGTTTTTTGTTTCAGTAGACGGACCAGCTGTGTGTGCATGTGTGTTTGTATCCCACTGACCTGCTAATTGCTGCCCGACTGCACTGAGGTTATGTAATCAGTGGACTCTAGTGGTGTCTGCGTTAGTTCAAATAAACACAAGAAATTTGTGCTCTAGAGGAAGGATCAGCGCTCAGTGAATAACCTCCTAAGCCCTATGATAAGCTATTATGCCAAGGCTTAACTATACATACCAGTGAGCAGTGATAACTAACACGTCTTTGGGGTCATCAGGTGGGAACCTCCTTTCACCAGTGTTTCATCTAGTTGGTCCCACAATACCACCAGGAGGCTAGACAGTGATCTCTGGCATCCCAGAGACACTCCCCTAATGCCAGCTCTCACTGCTCCTTGCAGCAACCCCACAACCTCCTTTACCTAACCTGTATTACCACATGGCTTTCCCAGCCCAAACAGCACTGCCACCTTCAACAAAGGTTGATATGAAAGACTGTGGATACCTTGGGGACGATCTCCATGTATTCCTGAAGACTCTGACAGCAAGAGGTAAAAACATATTCCTCCGACAAGTACGACCATATAACTTGAGCTCCTCTCCCACGGTGTACAACAGTAAAAGGGGAGGAGTAAGGCAGTAGACACCCCTTTATAGGTGGGGTACCCCCAAAGGTGAACGTAGGTATACAGAAACTGAGTCTCAAACGTTCCACATATTGACTATGGAGGCTTAAGTGTGTCAGGCAATAACAACTGAAACAAATGTTGTGCAATTATAAAACTTAATATAACAAATGTACATTTGACTATGTTACACATATTGCTGCTATCATGGACCCGTAGATTGTATGTTCCAACCCTCAAATAAGAACCACAGGAGTGTTTCCTAAACTAGCGCCCCTACCCATGGAAGACAGAATAGCTCTTATATCACCAGTTTTTCAACACAAAAATCTTAGTGGTAGGGTTTCAAAAAATAAAGATCATGATATTGCTTAAAATAAGTACATTTGATACTAATGTGATGTATGTAACATACGTTCTATGTTACTTTGTTAAAATAACGTCACATATCGATGTTTGGTCATCTACTTTCCGTGCCCACATTTGACGTGCAAGGTACCCTGGGTGCGTTGGTTGCTGAAGTCCTGGGAGGCCATGTCAACTTTAAACTGTTACATGCATTGTCTGTTTTCAAAATACACTTTTTTTTTCACAGTTTGCATACAGTCCCTTTCAAAAGGAACGGACTATGTCGGTACAACACCGCAAATTGACGTTTTTCTCCTTCAGGAACAAATGCACATGATTACATTTAGCCAACATATATGTATGTGGTTGGTTTGGCTTTACAATCATACAGGAACACCGGCCTCCCAGATGGAAGTTGGTGGTTGTTGGACCCATCCACTTAACTGACGTTATTATCCATCCATATTTCCCCATGATGCTACCAGGCACTGACTGGCTGCGTATCATGCTGACACCAAAGGTTATCTTCTTTTGTTGGTGTCTGATGACTGAAGTCACTGAGCAAGCCCTGGTATTCGATGACTTCGGAGTGTGACTAGGTTGTAAAATAACTCAATGTTGACTAGTGGTTTCACATGTGACACAAACAGCGGTCTCCTGGATGAAAGTCCTGTCAGTGTTTGACCCATCCAAGTACACAGATTGAAGTTGTTCTTTATACAACATCACCTGACTGCCTGTTTTGCTCATGTCATAATCACTACAGCCACTAGAGGTCGTCGCCTAACAGTAAACGTAAATATGGATCTCAGTTTGCTGCTTGTACAAACAACCTATGTGGCCATATTTCGCTGTAGGACGGTCTAAGAAATTTAAATAAACACACATTTTTTACATATTCCTCATCTCTCACACACACACACACACACACACACACACACACACACACACGCTCATTGATTTACACCTTATACAGTACCAGTTAGTTAAATTCTGTACCTTCGTCTGACAAAGGTTTTATTTAGACGGACTGTAGGCCAAGCCTTCCTTTGTGTTTGCTGTCCGCCATAAATAGAACAGACAGATATCGTCATGAGCAGGTATCAAAGGGCATCTGACGGCATGATTAAGCCCCCTAAACACACACACACACACACACACACACACACACACACACACACAAACAAATACCCCTCTCCTTTCTCTGTTCTTTAGTTTGTATAGGTTCAGTGTTTGCATTTTGAGTTCGACATCTGTAGAGAAGTCAATTTTTCCCCCTGCTGAGGATTTTAATTTTTATCTGAGACCCCTGAAAAGATACACAGATCTGACATCACGATTACAGGCAGCCACACCGATACTTGGCCTTTGTTCCCTCTCTCCTTCCTGCTCTAACTGCCACTCACCATATATGACTTTCACCGTGTCACAGCGGTGAGCTTCTCATTCGCCTCCTGACTTTGACTTTGAGAGGGAAAGATACTCTGAGTGAGAGGGAACAAAAAAATAAGACAAAATAAGATAAAACTATGTGCTGTACGGGGAAGTGTGCCCGCCTGGTGGGCCTGATCCTGCTACCTTCAGCATTCATCTGCATGATCGCCAACCTGCTGCTGTTCTTCCCCGACGGGGAGAGTCAGGATAATGACCATATCTCCCTCCAGGTCTGGCTGATGGGGGGGCTCATCGGAGGAGGCCTGTTTGTGAGTAAAACATTGTGATCTGTGTGTATTTACAAAGTCTGGTTGGACGTTTTATTGTTTGTTTTATTGGGATTTTTCAGTCAATAACTCTGCTCTGTGTAAACCTATAAAATCTCATTGAATTTTATTACTTTGGGTTGAATAGCTGGGGCTATTTTTAGAAGCTTAACAGAATAAGTTTAATTTACAATAATTTTTGTTTTACTGTTGCCTTACTTTACATTTACTGTGTTGCATATAATGATAACCAGATTCTTTGCTGTAATTAACTCTGACTTTGTACTAGCTGCAGTGGTGTAGTGGAGGGTATATGCAGGTATATGGGGTATTCCTACCTCTTATTCAGGCTGCTTACAGTATACCCCCCTATCAGCCAAAAAGCCATTGGAATATAAGATAAGATAAGATAAGATTAACTTTATAGTGAGGTGACCGTCACTGCTCACATGAAGACTTGACAAGAACACAAAGCTTATGTAAGGACTGAGTGAAATCTAACAGAAAAGTAGGACATACACACAGTACAAGTAAGATATAATGTAAAAGAGAGTAAACCCACTTCCTCCTCAGTAACCTGCCCATCTACCTGATAATACACCCACCTCATCAACTACTATTACACCACTGACTAGATAGCACTACTTCCAGTACTCAGCTAAGCTAACCCTCTACAAGCACCCACGATTAAATGTTTAAAGGAGCTGTATACCACATTCAGAGCATAGAGCAGATTCACACTCCGATGGTTCATGGTTCTCAACATGGAGGTGGCTAAGTTAGCAGCTTACAGCTAACAGGTTACAACAGCAACAGTGTTGACAGAACTAACAGTGTTAAGTTAACCCATAGATGTATAATAATAAACCAGATAATGGACCCCAAGATGGCGCCTATTTATTTCAATAGAGTTGCTCACCTGGCACATACGCCAAAAAAGTTTCTGGCTTCCAGGTTTACTTCTGCGATATGCGGCCCACTGAATATGCACAGTAGTGTTTCACCTACTGGCTCCTATAGACTTTACATTGTGATGACATCACAGACTTTTAAAACTCCTTTCTCAGCTTGAGGAAAGTTTTACAAATGTAAAACCTCCATGGATAAAAAATGATGATATAAAGAGCCATAACTGATGTTGTTTGCAGTTGGAGACATCCTATCAACAATTTTATAGACATCTCTTTTACACTGGTGGTCTACGGGGATTCCTGGGGGCCTAGTGGGAGTCCACTGGAAGTTACTTATAAAAATGATGCATTGTTATATAGATGAAACCAACATGTAGAAAATTAGCTTCTTGACCAATTACAATATTAAAATACAAATATAATGTATAAAAGTATAACACCCATTTTCATGTTTGATCGTTGTGGTACATTTTGCTATATTTGGTATTAATACTCAGTACTTAAAATAATACTTAATACAACACACATTATTACTCATTTAAGCAACATTAACAATATAAGACTTTTACTTGTGATGCCTTATATTTACACTGTGGTGTTCATGTTTTACTTTAAGGGAATCTTTTAGTGAAACTTTGACCACTCAGCATTAAGAGATAAAACCATCGTCTGATCTCCTCTACTTCCTCACTAAGGACACACACACAGACACACACAGATACACACACACACACATCAGATCTGATTATGCGAGTTGCCACCAACATTATCTCAACATTTTAAAGGTCGACAAGGACAATAAATAATTCATAAATATTTCATCTCATAAACATATCACAGAGACCTTTGAGTCATGTGGAAAGGACACGTCTTTATGGCCCTGATATTACCTTAAGTTTGGAACAGTGAGCAGGAAGTTTGATTGCTCTCCTTGCCCCACCTATAACTGTGTGGATGTCACTGCCTGCTGGGACGAGAGAATAAAACTCAGCTCAGAATTCACAAATATTTGCTTTAAGAGATAACCAGAGCACACAGACACACACGTATAAATGCAAATGTGTCAGCAGGCATGTGTGCACAATTATGGACACATAAATACACACCATACCTACATGTTAAGAAACTTTAGTGAGCATTTAAATCAATTAAAAGTAAGATATCAGAAAAATAAAAGTTGTGCTTGATAAATGAGAAAATGATTTCTGTATTTTTTAACCTTTCAGATGCTGTGCCCGAGCTGCTCAGCTATCAGGGCCGGGGGCAAGGGTTGCTGTGGAAAAGGTTGCTGTGGCAACCGTTGCCGGGTAAGTATAGTCATTTACAAAATTTACATTTACACTAGTGTGAGGATAATGATAGTGATGGGCAAAGGCGAGGGTGATGTTGTGTCAAATACTGAATGACAAACTGAATTATTTTATTAGTAATTTAGTTGTGTCATTACATTTTATTATGTTTACTGTATTGTATGGAAGCCCATTTCTGAAAAAAAACAAAAAACAAACATCTGTAAGACATTATATGAGAAACTTGACTAGGGCCTACATATCTCCAAATAATGACTTAATATCTTAAAATAAATAAGTTGGTATCTGAAAATTATGGGAAACTTCCTTAAAATCATGACTTACTTATCTCACAAAATAACTTAGTATCCCCAAATAATGAGAAATTTATCCCAAAATAATGATTTGCATATCTCCAAATAATGCCTTAATATCTTAAAATAATAAAATAGTATCTTATGACAAACTTTCTCCAAATAATAAGAACATTTATTATAATAATTGTTCATTTCAAAATAATGACTTGTGTATCTCCAAATAATGACTTAAAAATGTAAAATGACTTGGTATCTTAAAATTATGAAAAACTTCCTTAAAATAATTACTTAGATAATGAGTTGGCATCTCAAAATAGTAATAAACTTTCCCAGAATAATGAGAAACTTTTTAAAGCAATGATTTGTCTCAAAATAATGACTTACTTATCTGTAACTATTAACTTAATATCTCAAAATAATGAGTAAGTATCTTAAAATTAAGACAAACTTTTTAAAACAATGAGGAACTTTCTTAAAAATAATGACTTATTTCCAAATAGTAATTTGCGTATCTCCAAATAATGACTCCATATCTTAAAATAATAAATTAGTATCTTAAAATGATGAGAAACTTTCTTAAAATAATGACTTAAACAATGAGTTAGCATTTTAAAATGGTGATAAACTTTCTTGAAATAATGAGAAGCATTCTTAAGGCAATGATTTATCTCAAAATAATGACTTGCGAATCTCCAAAGAATGATTTAATATCTTTAAATAATAACTTAATATCTTTACATAAACGAGTTCACATCTCAAAATAGTGACAAACTTTTCCAAAATAATAAGAAACTTTCTTAAAATAATGACTTATCTCAAAATTATGACGTACAAATCTTTGAATAATGACCTAATATCTTAAAATAATTACTTAGATAATGAGTTAGCGTCTCAAAATAGTGATAAACTTTCCCAAAATAATGAGAAACATTCTTAAAGCAATGATTTGTCTCAAAATAATGACTTACTTATCTGTAAATAATAAGTTAATATCTCAAAATAATGAGCAAGTATCTTAAAATTAAGACAAACTTTCTCAAAATAATGAGAAACTTTCTTAAAATAATCACTTATTTCTAAATAATGATTTGCATATCTCCAAATAATGACTTAATATCGTAAAAAATTAACTTAGTATCTTAAAGTTATGAGAAACTTTCTTAAAATAATGACTTAAACAATGAGTTAGCATCTTAAAATAGTGATAAACTTTCCCGAAATAATAAGAAGCTTTCGTAAAGCAATGATTTATCTCAAAATATTATCTTACTTATCTGTATATAATAAGTTAATATCTCAAAATAATAAGTTAATATCTGAAAACAATAAGTTAGTATCTTAAAATTAAGACAAACTTAATTAAAGCTAAAGCCAAGACAAATTTTCTCAAAATAATAAGAAACTTTCTTAAAATAATGACATATCTCAAAATTATGACGTACAAATCTTTGAATAATGACCTAATATCTTAAAATAATAAGTTAGAATCTCAAAATAGTGATAAACTTTCCCAAAATAATAAGTAACTTTCTTAAAGCAAGGATTTATCTTTAAATAATGACTTAACTTATCTCAACATAATGAGTTAGAATACTAAAATAATGAGAAGAAGATGACTTAGTATCATTTCTCATAATTTGTTAGATATTATTTCAAATTTTCATTAAAAAAAATCATTTGAGATGTTAACTCTTACCTCTGTCAGGAATACCTAAGATATTTATTGCAATGGGACTTATCAGTTTAAGATACAAAGTCACTATTTCGAGAAAGTCTCTTTAGGACTTACAGGATCTTTTGGTGGAATTAGGTTTTGGTGCCATAAATGACCATTTAAAATTAATATTTTCTGGTGAATATGTTTTACAGAAGTAGGACTATGAACAGTGCTCACTTCTCTTTAATCATCAAGAACTATACTGCTAATAGGCCAGAGACATTTGCGGTGAAGAAATGCTTGTTACGAAAGTTTTTATATTTGTTTTTGTTGCATGTGACCGTTCCTCTTCAAACATAAAAACAGTAACCTTAACTCAAGGTCCACTTACTTGCTTTTTCCCAAAGCATTCATACACATTTCGCAATTGTCCTCAGCAGATGCAGTTTGCTCCATCCATCCAGGGAGACCATGAAATGTGGTTGTCGTGCTGGACTTTTATTTTCTCAAACTATTAGTTTCATTTTTTGTGTATTTTAAATAGGCTAGGTTTTATAATCTTACTGTTAATTTACTTGTTGTTGTTTTTTTGGTTAAGTGAGCCAAAACACACACAAACCGTTAGCAAAGTAATAGCACTTCTACTGTATTCAATCAACACACCACTTACATCTTATTCATTTAGAATATCAAATCTTTCCATGAGTGTAGCCACACTGACAGCATGAGATGTAAACATCAATGGCATCCACCTCTGTTTAGCTGTAACGTTAGCTAGCTAGTGGTGCTTGATGAGCTACAGATGCACACTGGCTGCTGTGTGATACAGTTGGCGGGTGTAATTCGGTTGAAAGAAAATAGTTCCTACATTAAACTGCTCACAACAGTCTGTGGATTATCTTGAGTAACCAGGTCATGGTTTCTGTAAAGCGACCCTACTGTTGAGTTTTCAATATTTTTTGGGGGCACTTTGAGCACCACAAGCTGAATGCCATAGTTCCACTATATTGGAGAGAAGGCAGACATCTCTACAGCCGATATCTCCAACACTCGGCAACTCACACCAAAACAATCTAGACTGACTAATAGCACTTTAGGTAAGAGGAAAAGTTTGTATTTTTGATTTGGGGGTGAACTGTTCCTTTAAAGGGTGACATACACCAATCAGTCAAAACCTTTAAACCACTGACAGGTGAAGTGAACAACATTGATCATCTTGGTACAATGCAATTTTCTGTTCGGAAATCTTCTGTTGGGCAACGGCACTCAGTAACAGTGTCCCCCCAACAGAAAAATACGCCATGCCACACAGAAACGGCTCAGGAATGGTCTGAGAAACAAGACGAAGAGCTCAAGGCATCGACCTGGCCTCCACATTCCCCAGATCCCAATCTGATCAAACATCTGTGGGACGTGCTGGTACCTCATGTCACATCCCACAGGACTCAAAGATCTGAAGCTAACACCCTGGTGCCAGACACCAAAAGACACCCTTCCTGGGTTCTGTGTCCATGCCTTGACAGGTCAGAGCCAAGTCTGGTCCAAGGAGAATAACTCTGAGGTACCAGCATGTCCCTCAAATGTTCGATCAGATTAGTATCTGAGGTATTTGGAGGTCAGGTCGACACCTTGAGCTCTTTGTCCCGGTCCTGGGGTCATTCCTGAGCAGTTTTTGTGGTTTGGCATGGTGCATTGTCCTGCTAGGGGGCACTGCAATCGACAAGCGCCATTGCCATGACGGGGTTTACATGGTCTGCAACGGTGTTCAGGGAGATGGAGCACACCAAGTAGCATCCACATGAATGCCAGGATCAAAGGTTTCCCAGCAGAAGACTGCACTGTAACAAGATGATCAATGTTTCCCACTTTCCCTACCAGCATTTTTGAAGTTTTGGCTTATCGGTGTAGGTCTACTAACAATGAAGAATGAAATCCTCCTATTTCTCTTTCAGATGCTGAACTCTGTGTTCTCCTCTGCCTTTGGCCTGGCTGGAGCGATCTACTGCGTCAGTGTGGCCTCTGCAGGTCTGGCTATTGGACCTAAGTGTCTGTCGGATAAGGGCAAATGGGAATATCCCTTTGAAAACCTTGGCACGTGAGTGATTCTCCCAAATGTATTTTTTAAAAGCATGTATGATGCTGTAGACTAGCGAGAGCCCTGAGATGAGTTTTTGCAGCCTTATATTACAGCTGTTCTTCTTTTTTTTCCAGGTATGTTGCCATCTATCTGCTCTGCTCTGTTATCTCTAGTTATATTTACTGTCAATATCTTTTTAGAGCTGCAGAAAAGTTTCAGTTCTTGATTATAAAAATAAAAATGCAATATTTTGATTCTCCAGTAGGTGGCAGCTTGGACCAGCACAGATTTTGCAGCTTCGGTAGAGGAAATCTATATTGTGATGAACCTGGGAATTCAGTATAAACTGTTTTGTAAAGAAATGCATGGGAGGAAATTCTTTTTAGCCTCATCATAGGTCATAAAAATACAATATGACCCAAATTAAAGCCACGCCAGTGATAATGCTGCGAGGATAACACTGAAGCGTTTTACACGCTTAGGCAGGTCAGACTGGGACAATTGTTAAGCATGTTGTTAATATGTAGGTGATTGCTGTCGATGATGACAGCAGTTTAAAGGCCACCAGAGGTCACAGGGAGAGACCGAGTATGATTACTCAATGCATGGTGAAATATTAATACCCAACCTCAGATTTTCCTTCCTCCATGCAGCAAACCTCAATTTCCCCCTTTCAGTTTCATGTTTTTCTGTGTGAACTTCTGCTATGCTGGAGTGTCTGTCTGACTGTCTAACCAGTACTCGTTTAAATATTTGAATATCTTCAATTGGGCTAAAATAATAGTCAATTACTTACTGATGGTCAAAAATGGCTCTTTTAATGGTTAAGGTCGCTGACCCCTGGGCTAACCGAATAGCACATTCCAACAGTGCTCTGAATGAAAGAATAGTCCAGTTTGAGTCAGAGTGTAAAGAGCCGAGCAGGAATTCGTCAGGCGAGCAACTCTACTGAGATGAATAGGCGCCATTGTGGTGTCCATTATCTAGTTATTATTATACATCTGTTAGCTCTGCCAACACTGTTGCCCTTGTTAGCACTGTTCATGCCGTTAGTAAAGTTAGCTGCAAGCCGGCAACTTACCTCCATGTTGAGAACCATGTGTACACAACCTGAATCAGAGTCTGAAACATAGATTTGCTCTGAATGTGGTGTACAGCTAATTTGAACATCTGACAGAAAATGTTTGCAGAGAGTTAGCTTAGCTTAGCATAAAGACTGGAAATAGGGAAAACAGCTAGAAGTAAGCCAGGAAGCCAGAAACTTTTTTGGTGCATGTACCAGGCGAGCAACTCTACTGGACTAAATAAGCGCCATCTTGGGGTCCATTATCTAGTTACTGGTATACATCAATGGGTTAACATTGTTAGCTCTGTGAGCACTGTTGCCATTGTTAGCACTGTTAGCTGCAGGCCGCCAACTAAGTGATTCAGGTTGTCTACACATAGTCCTCAACATGGAGGCCAGAGTCTGAATCATAGATATGCTCTGAGTGTCAAATACAGTTCCTTTAAACATCTAATTTTATATGTTTGTAGAGGGTTAGCTTAGCTTAGTATAAAGACTGAAAACAGGGAAAACAGCTAGAAGTAAACCCGGAAACTAGAAACTTTTTTTGGCACATGCGCCAGGCGAGCAACTCTATTGGACTAAATAGGCGCCATCTTGGGGTCCATTATCTAGTTATTATTATACATCTATGGGTTAACACTGTTAGCTCTGTCAACACTGTTGCCGTTGTTAGCGCTGTTAGCAGTGTTAGCTGCAAGCCACCAACTTAGCCACCTCCATGTTGAGAACCATGCGCAGACAACCTGAATCCAAGTGTGAATCATATTATGCTCTGAGTGTCATATGCAGCTCGTTAAAACATCTCATTGTGGATACTTGTAGAGGGTTAGCGTAGCTTAGCATAAAACCTGGAAAGAGGGATAACAGTGAGAACTAAACCAGGAAGCTAGAAATCTTCTTGGCCTATGCGCCAGGCGAGCAACTCTTCTGGACTAAATGGGTGCCATCTTGGAGTTCATTATCTAGTATTATTATACATCCATGGGTTAACACTGCTAGCTCTGTCAACACTGCTGCCGTTGTTAGCGCTGTTAGCACTGTTAGCTGCAAGCCACCAACTTAGCCGCCTCCATGTTGAGAGTCTGAATCATAGATATGCTCTGTGTGTCTTATACAGCTCTTTTTAGCATCTAATTGTGGATATTTGTAGATGGTTAGCTTAGCTTAGCATAAAGACTGGGAACAGGAAACAGCTGGCCTGCTTCCGTTCAAAGTAACAAATCCCCAAAATGTGTCATTGTTAGACTTTTGTTTTAGCATGGATTAAATGATTGAGAAAAAGCATGTTAAATTGTGAGCCTAAGAAGTGCTAATAGGCAGATTTGGGCAGAGCCACGCTAACTGTTTCCCCCTGCTTCAAGTCTTTGTGCTAAGCTAAGCTGACCGATCGATTGCTGGCAGCAGCTACGCATTAGCTGTACAGACATTTAAGTGGTATCAATCTTCTTATCTAATTCTCGTTAAGGAAATGTCTAACCATTTCTTTAAATTCCCAATGATACTGTAACAGCTGAATGTCACTTTTCTTGAACAACATATTTCCATCAAGAACTTCCTCTCCTTTCTATTTTCCACATGCTGTCTTTCTCCACTCCTCACTTGTTCCATTCACTGTTTTACTGATGCATATTTCCTCGACTCAGTCATCCCACTATTTCTTCCTGAACCCCAAACTTGGCCTGCTTCATCCATATTTTCATTAATGCTGTGTGTGTCTTGGACAGTGCTTATGCTCTCCTGCTCTTCTCCCTTGCAGCGGTAATGGCAGCTACCTTGTAAACCAGACCATGTGGGCAATGTGTGAATACCCCACCAATGCCGTGATGTGGCATGTGGTTCTGTTCTCCATACTGCTGGCCATGGGGGCGGTGCAGCTGGTGCTCTGCGGCATCCAGGTGGTCAACGGCTGCATAGGATGCATCTGCGGGGACTGCCGCGACAGCAAAGATGTAGGTGGACAAATCCCGAAACTCCACACCTAATAAATGCAAATGTTTGCAATGCCACAGTAAGTTTTGAGCAGTATGTCCAAGCCAGCAGGTCATGAAAGCTACACAGAGGACCTGGAGTGGCAGTGAAAGAGGGAAGCAATAAAACTTTAAAACTGCTTTATCAAACTAGGCCAAGCCAACATGAAGCAACATGTTTTGTTGCTGGAACAGAGCCTGGTACTCTTAGTGGCTTGTTCAATGACTTGGCCTTTTAGCAGCTGCCTACAGTGTTGCTTTAGATTTCTATCAGGTCTGCCACTGATTGAAAACAGGAAAGGGAAAAAACTCTGTAGTTTTAAGATATGAAGTGTTAATTAGTGAGCTGCAGAGGTGCTAGTCAGTGTATTTTGTTACCCAGGCTAGCTGTTTCCTACAACTGCTTATGGCCCGTAGGGGCCAAACAGTTGAGTAATATCCGTCACCTGATGTTATGTTCAAGTTAGAGGCGCGCTAAATAGGAAGTAGCTGCCTCAGCCAGCGTTCGTCTCTACTGCGCTTGCTCTATGGCAGTGGTTCCCAACTGGTCCAGCCACGGGGGCCAGATCTCTCCTTAGTCATTGATTCCAGGTCCACACAGTTTAATACATTTAGCATCACACGATGTTGTCAAGCTAGTTTGTTGTCTCTGTCAATCAGCTGTCCATTAATGACTCACTCTACAGCAGGAAATGGCACTTTAAAATAAGAATGTTTTACAAATTTGATACGTTTGTGAGTCACTTGCAGTCCATTCAGAATGGACCCGCGACCCGCTTTTGGACCGTGACCCACCAGTTGGGAACCACTGTTCTATGGGCCTCACAGTGCAGAAGCAGCGAGTCATTTTATATGCAGCAGTTGAACTTTGTTGGCTTCATGTGCCACTTTTATAGGAATGACCATGGCCCCAACTCTGATGCTGTATCCAGTTCTCTTTACATGTATATCCATCCAAAAAAACTCCAAAAAAAGCTGTAAATTGATGACAAAAAAAAAAGATATTCTCTGAGGTTAAAAGCAACTCTGCTTAAAGTTGTTAATTTACAAGAAAAAAAATCCCAAATTAACTGCCAGAAAAACTAAGAGACATAGTATAAAGAGCAACAAAGTCAATGTAGGGAGGAAGTTGTGATGGATGTATGGGTCAAGAACATGACTGAGACCCAGGGGATCAGGGTATGTGTACCCTGTGAGTCAACACTGGCTCGTTATCTTCAGATATTCGGATATTTAAAGCTGCTGAATGCATGCTATATTATGTCACCTGATTTACTTGCACATTACATTACATTACCCCCCTCCTGCACATCCATATTTTTATTTATTCATTTTCCATTCCTTTCCATTCAACCTACAATAGCCCTAATACGCTGTCGTAGTTTCCTCCTGTTTCCCGTATTTGTGTTGAGATAACTTACTGGCTGCTGGCTGTAGCTTAAAATGTTTTGTACAAACATGACAGATTTTTTAAAATCTTTCTAACTGTTCCTCTGGTTGTTGCGCTAAGACAGCTTGTTGCTGCCGGAACTTCAGCGTATGGAGTGACATGAATCTTCTCATCTAACTCTGGGGAAGAAAGCAAATATGTATGTTTTCTAAAATATCAAACTGTTCTTTTAAAAAATGTACATTTCATTTTAGTGCAATCAGTGACTGTAGACACATAGAAATCAAAAGTCGGACACAGAGATTTAAAGTATAACCGAAACGCCATGTGTGGACTGGTGCCAATCAACTGTTGATGTTAGCGTACTCCATTTCTTAACTAATGTTAGCTACTGTTGTACACTGTTAGCGCTGTAGCCGAGCACTCGAAAACACACATATCGTCACGTCTTTTGGATTTTCTGGGAAAAATTCGTCATGAGTCTCTTACGTAGAGGTGAGGCCACACAAACCAGTCTCACTCATCGAAATCCAGCGCAGTGACCTCCAGCATCAGACACTGACGAAAAAGCCATCCTTTAACGTCAGCATGACACGCGGCCGCTCACTGTTATAGTCGGGGGAAACGTGGCAGGACAAGAACTCTAACCCTGTTTCTAAAGTTAGGGTAGCGAAAGTCCAAGTTAACAAACACTAACTTTCATCCAAGAGAGCAGTGTTTGCGTCCCATAAGGTTCTAAAGCCAAACCCTGTTCTTTTGTCCTACTGTAAACCTAACCAAGTGCTTTTGTTGCCCAAACTCAACCACATACGTTAGTTGTTGGAGGAAAAGAAATGTCAATTTGCCTTGTTGTACCGACGTAGTGCATTTATTTTGAAACGTCTTTTTGTATGTACGGTAAATTTCCTGTCAAAACGGAAGTGTATTTTGAAAGAAGACAATGCATGTAACAGGCAGAACTTGACACAGTGTCCCAGAACGTCAACTACCAACGGACCCAGGGTACTTTGCACGTCATATGTGGATGTGGAAAGTCCATGACCAAACGTCAATATGTGACGAGGTCGAAGTGAGAATGTGTTGGTCCACAGGCTGTTACGGACAACTGAGAAAGTCGGTAAAAGTCTCTGTTATATTACAACTTGTTTACCCATTGGCAATAAAAATGGTTAATACTGGTAGGAAGTTACATACAGTACCTTAAAGGCTAAAACCCAGTGTGCCATCAAGATTAAATAGTTGACAGGTTTACTACTAAAAATAAACATGATCAATCCAGGGACTGATTTAGCTCCATTAAAGTCACAATAAGTAATCAGCAGCTTTGCAGGAAAAAAGTCAAAGATCATTTATGATATTATGCATGTACTTTTGAACAGAAATATTTACACAGGTTGAAGACTGATCTCAGATTTAGGACATGCTAAAAAATATTTTTGCTGACATGCATATACACACACTATTTTCTACACATTAACATGATGCTGACATATTAACAGCCCTGCCAATCATCTGAGGACTTGCTTCCTGTCCTAAACATGACATTAACATGTAACTTTTGTCCTGTTGCAGGATGACAGTGGATTGTGAAAGTGAAGATCATCCAGTTGTAACCGACCTTCAGAGGGGCCAGGAGGGTTTCATTTTTCCCCCAGTTTACACTGAGGGAAACTTCTCTGTGAAACATGCTGGAGTTTTCTTATAAAGCTGTTGTTTCATACCAAAGTCTTACTCCACTATTGTATGAATTTTATTCTAGCTGATGTGTATGCTGATGTTGTGTATTTTTAGATGAATTATTCATTAATTACTGAATTAATGAGTCATATATGGATAATACTTTAATGGTAAATAATTTTGTTAAATGTGGCTCTACTTAGTTTAGTATGCTGTATTCTCAGGAAGACTGTGACAGCACCGTGAGAGTTGAAAGATTTTGTCTCAACATTGTGGGGGACATGAAATGGGAGTGGGGGTCCTTCACCAGAAAATTTGGAGCATCAAACACTTTATTTTCTGCATTCGGGTGAATTTTTCCGCATCAATTTATGGTGTCAATGTCTTTGATTTTGACAAAATAAAAGTCCTCTGCTACTTTCATGTGTTTATTTTGAGGGGTTGGTTAATTTTGCTTCCAATAGCCTGACTCCCATTAATTGCTAATTAATAATGAAAAAAAAGCAAAATGTCTGGCGCCCCACTGACTTGTTAATCTTAAACACTGCATTTCAAAGCACTATCCATTTAGAGGTGGTGAGATTAATGTGATTTAATGTTTTGAAATGTATGTGTTTTGCCTTCTATTTTATTTTCTGTTGGCTTTACTGACAGACAGCTGGCTAGCCACGTTAGCTTGTAGAAACATAGTGCCCATATGGTGGGTGGGAGCTAGCTAGCAGCGGCACTCTTTCGGTGACTACTGCTGGTAACGCTATTCTGGTTGTGGAAACATAGTAGCCATCCTCTAGTCTCCCCCTATATAGTAGAATTGAGTAGGCTGCTGTATTTTGAGCCTAAAAACCCCATTAGCACTATTAACCATGTTAGCACCACTAACTGTGCTAACAGCGATACAGTTAGCTAACAGTTAACTAACATAGTTGACCATGTTAAAGGGTTTTTTGACTCAAAAATAACTTTACTCAAAGGGGCAACACTGGGGGAGACTAGAGGGAGGCACAATGTTTCAACAGCAATGTGGTTGGTCTGGGACAGCCTTAATAGCGGTAATCACCGAATGGGTGGTGCCACTAGCTAGCTCCAACCACAGCTAGTTTGAGCACAGTGCAGTAAACTGAGAAGTAGCAAAATTATCCTATAGACCAGTGGTTCCCAACTGGTGGATCACAGTCCAAAAGTGGGTTATGGGTCTATTCTGAAAGTGACTCGCAAACATGTCGAGTTTGTCAAAAATACACTTTACTTTTAAGTACAGTGAATTTCCGGCACAGAACTGAACTGTTGAGATGCGGTGTCCTGCTGTAGCGTGAGTGAATAACGGATAGCTACTTAACAAAGGCAACAAACTAGATCCACGAAATGGCCACGCAAGTATGATGTAAAACGACTATGACTATGACTATGTAAAACTGTGTGGACCTTGAACTATCGACTAACATGAAATCTGGATCCCACAGCTGAACCAGTTGGGAACCACTGCCATAGACTGACATGTGTAACTGGGGTCAAAAATATCTCGTGGTTACCTGATTAAGGGTTTACCATTGACATCCCTGGAGGGAGATTGGATTTGTGCATGACCAGAGGAAAATTATATCAGCTCTCTGTGACTCATCTGATCAGTGTTTATGTGAACCTTGCTGCTGTTCCCCCCAGAACATGCTGAACATGTCCACCAACTGAGTCACTTCCTGACTGATTATCCAGTTGAAGAACTACTGCAGAATCACTGTCAGGACCTCTGTTAATTACTCAACTCACACTGTGCGCAGGCAGCCAGACAGCCAGATCTAACAGGATTAGAGCGCATCCAGACAAGGTCAAAGGTCAGAACGCCCCCTGTGGGCACCCTGAGCACTGCAGCTGCATAAACAGTACACAATCTGACCCAGCAGCGCCTGTTAGGATCGGTGCAGGTTAAGCTTATAAGCTTTAGCTGTCATGGGGCTGCTTCGTGGTAATTGTTACCTAACTTTTAAGTTAAAAGCCTGTTGCAGAGCTGGTAAATATAGACACCAAACAATCCAAAGCTCAAGGCTAAAGCCATGCCTCCATGGCAGCGCAGATAAAAGAGATGGTCTTTGTGTGTAGCCATGTGAATAACAATTATGCCTTTCAGCTTCTCCGTGTACTTTGGCATCTAAACCAAGCAATTTCCTGCAAATTTAAAGTTCCTGTGTTCACATATTTCCAGGACAGGGAGGGGGAAATATGTGAAAATAAGCTAACTGATTGGCCGGTGTTATGCAGCTCACTTATATAGTGCACAGCACAAAGCAAGGAAGGGGCATTAAGTGGGAAGGATTTGGAATAAAAGAATGGGGGGGACAAAGAGGGGAAAACAGGAAGGGGGCCCGCTCTCAGTCACTTCTCATGCAAATGGTAGCCCCTCTGAAAGAATCCAGAGAGGCAGAGAGAGTGCCATTTAAAGACGTGGTGATCAAATACTGATGTAAGTGCATGAGTGCAGCGAGGGAGACTTGAAAGACAGAGAGAGCTTTCTTAAGAGGGAATGACAAAGAGTCAAAAAGCATGTTTTTCAAGCACGTAAATCTTCTGTCATAGCTGCCCTGTGCGCTTGTTTAGACCCTGCGGTGAGGCCTTTATTTAAAAATGTACCCCTTTCCCGAAATTGTGCCCCTCCCCTCTGCTTTCAGGCTTGACTGACAAAACAAAGAAGAGAAAAACAGGGTGACGGAGCAGCACTGGCCGGTATGAGCCAGACTAGTGAGAGCAGAATTTTGACAGAGCAGGACAATGGTGCGAATCAATCTGTGCACGACTATTAAAACTTTTAATTGAAGCAACATTTTTACAATAGTGCTCCTGTTTCATTTTTCTCGTCTGGTTGAAATCTGCTCAGCTCACCCACGACCGCAGCCTCGTTTAAAAGCAACAGTCATGCTGGCGGCACAAATATCAACTCAGACACACGTAAGTGATAATAACTCAGCAGTGTCCACCACCCAATAATTATGTCAACCGCAGTATGAATGACCTCAGCAGAGCCACAGAGTCGACAGTCAGGCACATTCAGCAGGTTTGCGAGCTCATTTACAACCCTGTCAACATGTCAAAAATCAATTAAATTCAATCTAAAGCTAATTTTCTGCCTTTTACTTGACTTCCCAATTATTTAATTACACTTTTACATCTCCCTACAAAACCATCTTGATGTTATTTTTAAATGTGCTATAAAGACAGAGCTCCTCTGTCAGGTCTTAATTTGAGTCAGGCTGGTTGTAATTTCAGCTACCGTAAGGTAACAATTGCTTAAAAATGCTGACAGTCCATCTGTTATACTGGCGCTATATTATCATATTTAACCTTGAAATGTGATATTTTACACTTGGACTAGACATTACCAACGAGACATAGTGTCACTTTCTCATTGCTTAAAGGTAGCATACACAAACTGAGCTAAACGAAGGGTTGCAGAACTCAGTGGAGTATCTCTGCTTTGTGTAGAGCTGAAAGGTGTAAGTCCAGTAGCCAAAGGTCAAATCAGGTTGTCATGTTTCCATGGTCTGATGTCTCTTGATATAAACTAGCCTTGCTTTGTAAGAGATTGGTAAGGGCTAGCTTTGCAGTCAAAATGCAAACTGCAAAATAACAACGGAATGCAGTTTTAATGGTAAGAATCTATTAAGATAATTTCAATGTCTAACGTCAAGAAACTGCCCAAAAATTTGAGGGGGTAGGTTTCTTAGTACACCTATAGCATCAGTAGGCTATAAGCTGCTTCTTCTCAAAATAAATCAAAACCTGTATGACCGAACCATGTGCGAATTTCATTTGAAAGGACAGACACAGGAAGTGGCCATGCGCAGCAGTCAGACAGGAGTCACATTACAAACCAATCACAGCCAAAAGATATCTTTCCCTTTTTCTGTAAATATTCAGTCTGACAAGCAACTTCAGGTAAATAGGCAAAACAGTGCTTGTTGATGCAACCTGTCGCTGTGCTCTCGATAGCTGGCACAAAACGCACAAGAGTAGCGCCCAGTGCCCGACCTCACGTTTACAGGCGGTTTAAGACACGGCATGTGTACGGCCTCTAATTTACAGGGCTGGTACCTGCGGTTCTTACACAGGCTAGTTAATAACGTTGGGCAGGAAATCTTTAAAACTTTTACAACAAGGCTGAAGTACGACCTGAATCAGATTTCTTTTTTAATTTTGACAAAAAGAGGCAGCTAACTAGCCAGCTAAAGCAGAAAAGGTATAACGTTAGCTAACTGGTTAGATAGCCCCAGCTAGCCGTAGCCAAAGCAAAAAATAAATTAACTTATTGATTTTTACCAAGCTGTTATCTGTAGATTAAAAGTATCAATTTTAATAAATGACATTCCGGTAATTTAGTCAGCTTTTTCAAGTAACTGAATGAGGCAGCAGCCAAATTCAAACATGACGGAGAAAAAATAGGTGAAACACCTGCTAACGATAACTAGCTTAGCGTTAGCAGCTCAGCTCAGGTTTTGACTGCACTACTACTATTAATGAGATTTAGCTAGCCTACTTTAAATCACACATTCAAATGTATAAGGTTGTAAATATATTAATGAATGTATTATACTGATTGATACTGAATATCGATTAATATTAATAGATGGATAAAAGTACCTAGCAAAAATAATTTAACTATATATTCTGCTTGTTAAACAAACTAGTTAAAGTGAATTTCAATTATTTGCAAGTACAATTTCCCTTTGTACTCCCTGAGGAATATTCAAAGATAGGTATAGGATAGGTATTTAGGCCCTGTGACGATTGTTTTTGAGTTAAAATAATCAGTTTTAAAAACCTATTTTAAAAAAAGACAGAACAACCTTTCTATTTGTTATACAGTTTGCCATACAGACAGAAAATGTTACACACTTTTCCCCTCATTTTTACTGCTTCTGTAAATCCATTCTGCTCTTTGCCTTCAGATGGTCTATTTACTACACCCAGCAGTGTCAGCTGATATGCATGGTTTGCAGAATACAACAGGGATTAGACCCCTTCCCCTGTGCACTTCAGGATTAATCACTGAGAACAATGAGTGTGCCATGATGTAAAAACAGGGCACGGTGAAGAAGCATGAGATAAGTGACATAATGTACCGAGGGAGGGGAGTAAAGGAAGGCGACGGAGGCTGGAACCAGCCAAGAGCGACCTCATCCAGTCAGTCCCAGCCCCGGGCTCCAGAGAAGCATGCCAACACCAGCAGAAAATCAACAAACTCTGGGTGTGGGAATGTCTGCATGTCAGAAGGAGGAACAAACAAGGAGTTTGGGTGGGGACCAGTAAACACTCACACAGACTGGTTCGACCCTGATTTTTGTTTGTTTATACAGTATCTTTGTTTATACTGACTTTGATACGGTAATCTTGAGATATTTTTTGATAGGTGGAAAAACATTTTTAATCATTGCAGG